CAAGAGAAAAAACATCACAGGAAGAAGCAGAAAGGCCCTTCTCTACTGGCAGAGAGATTACTAATGAACAAGAGGAATAGAAGACATAACACTTTGTACAAGGAATCCCAGAATTAGATCTAGCAGCAGAATCAATATAATGTGAAGAGTTGGAAGTTTGCCTGTGAGGACAAGATGAGAAGCACTTTGGAGTTCTAACTTAAGAGGAGAAAGATGCTAACAAAGAGAGGAATAAAGCAAATTAAAGATGTACAACCATCAGCCAGCTTCAGGAGACATTGGCAGAGATTACTGAAAGGCTGAGGAAGAAAGTACTTGTTTACTCAGTTGTTAATTGAATAGCTTAATAGGAAGTCCCTATTGCTCCAATGTCTCAGGGTCAAGCAACCAGAACCACACATGAATAGTCTCAAACTAACTTTACTTTTTGTCAGCTATGTTATAAGAATTGACCAGCTAAGACTTCAAGGATTTTTTTGGGGGGTGGGGGGTCATGCTTATACCATTTTTGGCTGTGCAACAACTCCAAGCTAGGCCCTTCCTTGACTCCTCCTTCCAGTCTAGCTGGCAATTCTGCAACACAGTGTGTGGGCAGTTCATATACTTGTATGTTTTTTTGCTAATGATATAAGCAAAAGTGTAAGCAGGTCATAAGTGATGGGATAATCATTTTTCATACTGGATGGGCCATAAGGGACTTCTTGGAGCTCCTCCACCCTGGCCATCATTTATGGAAGAGCAGACAGCAACTTTGAGGAAATCAATTCTATAGAACAATAACAATTTTTTTTAACAAACTTCAGAAGGTTGCAAGCATAATCCCAGGATTAGCTCCAATCTTATATCTGGAACCACATAATTGACTGTAATATGCTATTATAGCAAGGATTGTTTTATAGTGTGTCTGCACTGCAGTTAGTTATAAGTGCATAATAAAAATTCTATTCCCTGCTCAGAGAAATATATAATCTGAAGTACAGAAACGCCAAGCTTACTGTCTTCTATAATTACCTTCCCTTTCTCCATCCGCTATATTTAAAAGTTAATCTTATTGCAGCCCACATTCCAAGGCCTGAAATATATTTTTGGGTAAATAAAATTGCTATTTCTAAATTGCTTTTCTATAAAGATGGATTTTTTTTTTGTACCAATGCAATAATCTTTAAACAAGATCTATCTTACTCAGGCACGGGCCTTTAGCATATTTACCCTGAAATCTTAAACAATGCCAAAAAATATTACAAATTTAAAATAATAAAATAAAATAACTTTAATACACATACATTTATATGTATTTATGTATATAATAGATTATTTATGTCATTGCTTCTGACTTTTAATATCTATACCCCTTTCCATATCTATTTGCCTGTAATTTATATTTAAATGTTTATCTTGTATTTGCATTCTCCCAGAAGTCAATGCTCTATAAATCACCAGAGCATAAATATTCTCTTCAGAAGGACTTTACACTATTATTATTCTGCCAACCAAAGTTCTCAGTTTCATTTGTAGATTCTTGATCACATTTGCAGATTAGAGAAGAACAGTTGCAAAATAAACATTTTTGCAACAATTATGAAAGGAAATAGATATAATAGCCAGCCTGGTATAAAGGTGAAGGCATGCTGGACTGATGCTGGGAAGATCCAGGTTTAAGTCCACCCTCAACCATGGAAGTTCATTAGCTGGTCACTTTCTCTCAGATCAAGCTAACCAATGAGATTGCAACTAGAGAGTGGGGAAAAAAGGACTATGAAACTGGATTGAGCATATTATATTTGACTAGGAAGCAAGAAACACATGCCAAAGACTGGTACCAGGATAACTTAAACAATGCTGGACTGCATTGTGATCCTTGACATTGGGTTGATCTAGCCAAGGATTTGTCACAGACTTGAATGTAACAATTTGATTACAGCCATGCCAGAATCTAACTCCATCACCTTGTCCTGCTCTCTGTTCCCTTTGCAGTTCCTGTCTCATCTCAGACAAGGCGTGGTTTTCAATCATTGGATTTTTTAAAACATTGGGGAGCTGTCTTTAAATACGTTTGCCCACCTTGCAACAAAAACCACACCCTGTGCAAGTGTGTGTGAAAGAATGTGTGTGTAAAAGCACACAAATGCATTGACTAAAACAAAGCAACCACAGGATGTGCATGAGGCCTCTCGGCATTCTGCACAGCGAAGGAAATGCCAGGAATTAATGGAGCTGTTACAAATCAATGTCATTTCATCTGCCCTTTTTATTTTTCCCACTGGTAATGCTAAGGAGCAAAACAGCAAGAGTGATTAAAACCACTCAGCCTCCTCTAGGCCAGGCGTCTCCAATCTCCAACACTCGCGACCCCGCTGGTGTAGGGACTTGCAGACCCACTAACATGAGTGTCACTGTGTCTCAGTCCCACTCACTTTGTCACTGACACTCGCAGCCCCGCTCATATGAACAATGGATGTTTGTGCGCAAACACGTATGAATGCATGCATGCACCTGCCCTTCCACAAAACCATCCCCTCTTTTCCCCACTGCCCCCACTCCAGGCCACCAACACAGAAAGGCTGGGGAATTCTGCCCCAAAACTCAAAATACTCTAGGTACCACTCAGAATAATATTGATTAGAAAATCCTTCACATTCCTATTTTTTTCTACTGTTCTTGACATTTCCATATTCAATACCTCTGATTCTAAGATTTGTATTCACTAGTGAATGCTAAGGTTAGCTAATCAAGCTGTTGCTAGTTTATTTCATTATGACATAAAAGGAAGCAGTAATTCACTGCCCGAGGTATTCATGTCTTTCAAACGAACATTCATGTTCTTTCAGACTTTCGAGCCATTTGTATGATTGAGTTCAACTAAAATGAAATAATGAAGAGAGAAACTGAGAGGCTAGGCAGCTCTTCTAAAGACTAGTGGGGTCTACAGGAAGTGGGTTTTTTAAAAAAAAAAAAAAGTCAAGATGTCAAGCACAATTGTACAAAGGTTCAGCCCTTTTTTATGTTTGCGTGAAGTACACTGAAAGGGGACAGAGCTTCAATTGTGCAGCTGCACCAAAGGTGGGTTCCTACCAGTTCGCACCTATTCGGTAGAACCAGTTCATCAAATCTACCAAACCAGTTAGAAGAGGTTCCACCAGTGGACCNCTTAGAGAGGGCTGAAAGCCCTATGAAGCGGTATATAAGTCTAACTGCTATTGCTATTTCTGTTATAATTCATTCTATTACTTTCAGCCCATTTTTTTCCTAACATATCAATAGCATTTTGAATTTTTGCCTTCTCAGGTATTAGGCATCCTATCCAATTTTGTGTCTTTTATAAAAATGATAAGCATTCTTTCCACTTCTTCATTTAAGTATTTAATACAAAAAAGTGGGACAGAACAGGCCTCAAGGGACTTAACTGATAGCTCATTTCAGTTTGTCTGCAGCACTGCTATGACTTGTTAATGAAGTTACCCCATCCAAGAGAGTCCCTGCAGATTTTGCTCGATTTTACTCATTGCCAATTATAGGGGCCCTCAAATCCATTTCCCCATCCAAAAAATGAAGTAAAATTTGACCGCTTAAGTTTTGCTTTTCCTTTATCTGGCTGACTACTGAAAATCACTGCAGGGTTTTCAATGTGTTTAGAGTTGTGGTCTGTCCTGGAGCTTATGCAGGTATTGATGGTAGACTGGCTTGCCTGCACTTCCCTGTACACAACATTTTAAAGACTTGGCCAAGATTTTTCAGACGATAGCATGCAGGTTTGATCAACTCATCCTTTAGTACCTTACGACAGGAAAGGGACTAGGATTTATGTCGTCTGGACATTGAATCTAATTCAAACTAAATAAGCAATTTTAGGAACTTTCATCCTCTTGCTCAAATTGCCTGATGGAACGTATTTCATTTTCTCAAAACAGATTGTTCCAAATAGCAATTGAGCAATTCCAGTTTTTCCTACATATTAGCATTCTGTTGTTTTCGTTCAGCATTTAGTATACTGAAACTTTTCTCTTCCTTTTATTTGGAATAAAGCCAGATGGGATTTTTATTTTTTTTTAGTATCCTCCACCAATCTCAGTTCATTATGCACACCAAAACAATGCATTCAGCATTTTAATTGCATAAAATAATTAACCACATTTTCCTTCAGTGCCTGAAAGATATTTTTGTAGACTCCAAAATGGGCACTGAACAAAGCACAAACTGATCTCCATGTACTAGACTCAAGAAAATGATTGAACTTTAAAAATATGAACACTCTTTCTAATATATTCTGTTTGGCTACCACTATATCACTGACAAATTTACTCAAATCAGAAGTTGATTAAGTATTTGTGATCTACACATAAATACTGTTAAAATACCAGCTGGTTTCTTTTACAGTCAACTTGTGAAAATGTTTACCCTTACAAATATTTCTCTATTTTAAACACATCTTTGTTCTCTATATCAATGAAATGCTTTAGGGGCAGAATAAAACATAGTTGTCCTGCAACTAATCATGATTTATTTTAAACTAGAATATTAAAATACCAAATTGTGAAAGATGTTGGCAATCAGCTAAACCAATTCTTGCTTTGAAAACTGAACATCTGAACTAAAACTGAACTGATGTTATCATTCTAACTTCCTCCATGAAAATGTTTCCTTTTATATTAGCCATTCTTCCTTGAATTGAGACTAAATGCCACTTTTATATACCAACATATTTTCTGTTTTTTTCTTCTATCATCTCTATCTAGAAACTAACATTATATTGTTAAAATTGCTTATCTTCATGAAACTCAATTGATATACTTTTTTGGTCTAACTTGTATTTATTTGTACAGAAATGGGAAATAGTTTTTTATATCAAGGACTGTTTATGGTTGGTACTAATGCAGAATCCAGTTTTAAAACAGATTCAGCAAATATTTAGTTCAAGATGGAAAAAAAACCAGTGCACATCCAATACATTTTTATATAAGACCTTGTAATATCTTTAATATAAAAGGCTGTATTTAAAAAAATAGTGAAACCTGGTAAACTTTTATTTAAGAAGAACATTACAATACCATTTGCAGTTATTCTTAAAACAAGACCCTAAGAACTAAACTAAATGAAACAAGGCAATAAGTTTCACACACTCACTGAAATACTGTTGTTGTTGTTGTTGTTGTTGTTTTTAAAAAAGGGGGGGACATTTTTATCATGGCTTCACAGTTCCAGATTGCTGGTATAAAATATCAAATTTGAAAGTTATCTACCAAACAATAGCTTTCCACTGATTCCACATCTTTTTAATCTAACTCTTTAGATTTAACATTTTTCAAACTTAGAAACAATGTTCAACTTGTCAAGTAAAAAACAAAATCTTAGTTCCTAATGCGGCATTCCAAAAAAAATGCACTTAAATATTTACAGGATATTTACACCAAACATATTATATTGTAGAATTCTAAACAATTCTACTATTTTCTTGGTTAGAAGAGATTCGTTATAATGACAGCCGAGGCCTTTTAGGTGGTGGTGGTGGCATGAGTTCAGTGTCAGGATCTAGGTGATGTTTACGTGGCTGTCCTGGAGCTGCCGTCATACATTTTTCAATGAATTCAAAAAGGAATTCCTTTGTCACTGGATGTTGTATACTGTTGCATACAGCTGGAAGGCAACAACACATTGTGAGATGGAGAAGAGCAAGAAAATACATTTATTCACAGTTGCGCTTAACAGAGAATGGATATTCTCAAAATCCAATGGATCCAAACCAATTGTCTTGAAAACTGTTATGAGTATCATGACAACATAATCCATGCAATGTAACTTAAAGAAAGTCTTATTCATATGCAGCCATGTTCAACTAGTTCAAAAGAAGAAGCTTCCCATCACAATGTTCCTGTCAAGGTCAATTTCACCACTGAAAGCTCCTCATACCCTCAAAACCAGAAATTTTGATGTGTTACCTCCAGCCTCTGAGACCTCTACTACTAAGATCAAGCAAGCAAGCAGAATAGAGCTGGAAGGAACCTTGGAGGTCTTCTAGTCCAATCTCCTGCTCAAGCAGGAGACCCTATACTATTTCAGGTGTTTGTCCAGTCTTTTCTTAAAAATCTCCAGTGATGAAGCACCTACAACTTCTGAAGGCAAGTTGTTCTACGTAGTCATTTATTGTCTATGTAGAAGTTTCTCCTTAATTCCAGGTTGCTTCTNCAGAGGCACTGAGTTTTATAAATATGAGCATGATAGTGTAGAATAATCATATCCAAGGACCAGTGGTGGGTTTCAAAAAATTTTGGAACCTGTTCTGTAGGTGTGGCCTGCTTTCCGGTTTGGTAGATTTGACGAACCGATTCTACCGAATAGGTGCAAACTGGTAGGAACCCACCTCTGGACACAGAAGAGTGAATTGATTATACATGTTCTTTTGGATGGCAGAATTTGATAACGTATCAAGAACTTATTTTCCCCCTTTGAGTGACAATTCCTGGCCATTCAGATGAGTTCTGTGCTGATTTTCTTCTTGATGACAACGCCTGTTTTGTAACATTTATACTTGTGGACTTTCGTTTTCTAGCTTCAAGACTCAAATAGTAGATTCAGAATGAAAAATAACCTGAAGGCTGTATTTCCTTACGGGTGTTTTTGTTTGGTCTCATAATTGTTTGAAAATAATCTTGCAGAATTCTCTCAGAAAAGTAAAGAAATAATACTTAATAAAATGAAATGCTTTTCCTTCATAATTATAACCATTCTCAACTCTTATATCTGTGTCATTTTAACTTTTAACTCATTCAAAAGCCACAAGAGCTTTCTAAATAGCCCCCCGCCCTCCATTTTTTAACCCATTTGGAATGGTTTCAAGTGCATTTGCACCATCTTGTTTTTGAGAAGTTCCGACTTGTATTAAATTTGAGGATTTCTGCCCATTAGAACATAGTTCTGAAAGAACTTGATAGGGTTCTGTCTGGAGGAGAGGAGGCACAGCCAATTTTTTAATCACCAGAGCTTTGACTTTTAGGGAATCCAACTAATTCTGTACTGCTGCTAAGAGAACTGCCTGGATATATCCATAGACTTGACAAGACAGGAGCTCAAAGATATACTTTCTTTATATTAAGTGTATACGGTCAGCTTTTCATGTCTACTAAATGATCACTGGAGAAAAGCCATGCAATTTGGCCTTGATCTTCTATTCTAGAGAGTTTGAATAATAGAGTTGAAAGCAGCCAATCTGGCCACTACATTCAATCCCTTGCTCACTAAAAGAACCCATTCTAAAAAGTCTGCTGGCTCTCTAGATTTTGCCTATGAAAGAGGGGCCTATAGTTCTATTGTCAAACATTTTTTATTGTTAGGTTCCACTGGAATTTACTTTCTTGTAACTTAAAACCACTACCTTCTATTGTGCATTCTGAGGTAGTAGAAGACAGATTTTTATCTTTTCCCATGTCACATTTTTCAGGTATTTGAAAAATGTTATTACATTTCCACTCTGTTTTTTCTTCTTGAAGTAAAATATTCCCAATTTCTTCAAGCTCTCTTCTGGTTTTTTGTTCTCTGATGGCTCTTCTTTTGTTCATCCTGATGGCTCTTCTCTCAGTCTGTTCCAACCTGTCAGAATCTTTGTGAAAGCACAAGTAGCCCTCAACATACAACAGTTCATTTAGTGACCGCTCAAAGTTACCATGGCACTGAATCAAGTGACTTATGATCATTTTTCGCACTTACGACCGTTGCAGAATCCTCATGGTCACGTGATTTACATTCGGCTGCTTGACAACTCATTCACATTTATGACGGTTGCAGTGTCCCAGACTCATGTGGTCCCTTTTCCATCCGTCTGACAAGCGAAGTCAATGGGGAAACTTAACAACTGTTTTACTAATTTAAGAACTGCATTGATTTACTTAACAAATGTGGTGAGAAAAGTTGTAAAATGGAGCAAAGTCACTTAACAAATTTCTCACTTAACAATATAAATTCTGGGCTCAATTGTGGTTGCAAGTTAAGGACTACCTGTATATGCACAAGAGGAGATGAAATATACAAGGCGGGATCTGACCATTGCAAAGATAAGTAAAAATATTATTTCCAATGATTTGAGCAGTCTTAAGATTACTTTTGCCTTTTCTGCAGCCACTGCACACTGATTCGGACCATAATCAACTACAATTCCAAGATCTTCCCAAATACTATTGCCAAGACTATTATTTCCTGTTTTATACCTATGAATTTGACCTTTGTTTCCTAAATGTATATATTGAGCCGAGGTGGCGCAGTGATTAAATGCAGCACTGCAGGCTACTTCAGCTGACTGCAGTTCAGCAGTTCGGCTGTTCAAATCTCACCGGCTCAGGGTTGACTCAGCCTTCCATCCNGGTTCCCAAACTTGGCAACTTTAAGACTTGTGGACTTCAACTCCCAGAATTCTCCAGCCAGCAGAGTTGAAGTCCACAAGTCTTAAAGTTGCCAAATTTGGGAACCACTGATCTAGTTGGAAGATCTGGTAGGGAAGTACAGTATGTAATTCTACCCAAGCCTTTAAAGCAGTGATTTCCATAAATATGTGGTTGAAATTTTGACACAAGTACCTCTTTTATTGATCCAGATTATTTGAGTCACCTATGGAAATATCTGATTGAACATTCTATTGTGGAAGTCACAAAAATTTCCAGAATAATCTCAGATTATTCAATAGGAAACACAGTATGTGAAGCATACTTATTGCCCTTCAATCTGTAATGTGAATCCTCAATTATTGGATAAACAACTTAATTGTACTGCTCACTGTGGCTTCCCACAGATTTTTCCCTAATATTCCAAAATTTACTACACAGATGCATTTTTTTGCTATCTAGAGAATTAAAGCTTGTTGAGGCTTTGCCGCCTGCCTCAATTTTGTGAGGCATTTCATTCCCCACAGTTGCTAACATCAACTGATTTCCTAATACAGTGGTTAATGTATCTGTTTGCTTTTTGCTTCCAAATTGAAGAATAGACATTTCCCAAGACTGCCCTATGCAGATGTCACCGTCATTCTATCTTTAATACATGTACGACTAGAGAATAATCATTGTCTTGATCCAATACTTTCATGAGAAGTACCTGATTATTAATAACTCCCCAAAACAAGACGTTCTTTCCAAGCAAACCTAAAAACTTTAGATGAATCATTAATGGTCACAGGATACGACTAATTAAAATATTGAAATATCTCGGGATTATATGGGAGAAGGGGCATTCATACTGTTTATTAATCCCAACTTGGTCAAAACATTAATTTAGCGATTTTATTATTTTATTATTCATTAGATGTTTGTCTGTAGCCATAAAACTCTTCCAGGCAAAGGCCTCAAAACTGTTACGTACTTCAGGCACCCTCTGACGCATATTCTAACTTTAGACTGCTTTAACCTGAGTAATCAAGGTTTCTTAGTGCTATACAGTCATTGGCATTCCTATATGTGTTTTAATGGGTCTCTCAGGCAAGACTCTGGACTAATTAAGAGTAGAAACAAGAGCAAGATAATATTTAATTATAGACTGACATTCATTTATCTTCCAATTGGGCTGATGCACTTTGTTTTAAATGTTGCCTTTCAATCCACCCATCAGAAGTCCCTAAAGTAATAAATTATTTCAAGTGGCCTGTCCCTCACTATTTTATGTAGCCTTTGCTGGTCCCAGCCAAAAGTCATATTGCGGGTCCTAGAAATTTACACAATCTGAATCAATTGCCCACTTTTTCAAGACACCAAATTAACTAATATTTAATTGGAGATTAAAGTCAATATTTAATTGAAGGTACACTTGGAACACTGTACCTTCATAAAATTATACCTGGGCTTTTTACTAGCATGTTGCAATGTCCTGTGTGCTTTTGTGTGTCCATGTGACACAGACAGTGGTGGGTTTCAAAAATTGTTCAAACCTACTCTTTGGGTGTGGCCTCCTTTGTGGGAATGGCTTGCCAACCATGTGACTGGATGGGAGTGGCTTGCCACCCATGTGACCGGATATGAAGATGCCGACGACACTTGTCAGAACCACCTTAAATTGCCTCACACACAGAACTG